GGGCGTAGGCCAGGCCCTGAACCCCCCACCCCTGCCACCTGAGGTGCAGCAGTCTCTCTTAGAGGCTGAGATAAAAATCCTTCCTGACTGGTCTCTCCTCCCCTCCCAGACTCACCTGCTCTGCAATGCCTTCCTTGACCCTCCGGCTCGGACGGTGAGTCCCGGGCCTGCACCTTCCATCACTTTGAGACTCAACACGTATTAGAGTGCCAGGCAGTTTAGTTTTAAGAACCCTTAGTGATGCCCTAGCTTGTTTGGCTCAGTGGATAGAGCATCAGCCTATGGACTGAAGGGTTTGTGGTTCAATTCCCCGTCAGGGCACATCCCCGGGTTGTGGGCTCGATCCCCAATGAGGGGTGCAGGAGGCAGCCGATCAATGATTCTCTCTCATCATTGATGTTTCTAAGTTCCTCTCCCTCTCCCTTCCTCTCTGAAATCAATAACAAAATATTAAAAAGAAACATACAACAACGTGTCTTCTGATTTGATGATGAGGAGCTGATTCGATGATGAGGTTCTTGCAAACCCACCTGGGAGTGGGGACGTCCTCTACTTCCTGCCACTCAGGGGCTTTTGGGTGTGTCTAGGAGATTACTACTTGTCATCTGCTTGTGTGCGTGTGTCTGTGTGTGCGCGTGTCTCTCTCTCTCTCTCTCTCTCTCTCTCTGTGTCTGTGTTTGGTGAGTCAGGGAAGCCTTCGGGCCCGTTGCCCAGACACAGGTGTGTGCCAAGCCCGATCTTTGTCGTATCTGTGGCACCAGCGGTGGGACCACCAGCTGGAAGCAAGGGAATTAGCAAAGCCACGGAGCCAGCATGCCACGCGGAGTGCGCTGGAGACAGACCCGGGCCTGCGCTGGGCACGTCCCCTGGGAGGGAGCGTGGGGCTCGCACAGGGGGGTCTGAGAGGAGTCGGATGGACAGTCAGTGGACAGAGGTGCATCCCCTCAAGGAGAAACTCTACCAGCTGGGGCTCAGTTCACACTTGAGCCTGGAACACAAAGTCTCCCGGCTCCTCGCGGCTGGGGGTGGAGAGGACGAGCAGAGCCCCTTCCTGAGGTGTGCACACCCTGCATCCCCTGCTCCCAGGGCATCCTGGCCACCCTGCTGGGAGCCTCTCTGTTCTCCTCCATGTGATGGGCGGACAAAGGCTCCGAGTCCAGTTCCTTCCCCTACAGGGTGGCTCCTAAGGGGAGCTCAGCTCACGTTGGTCCCGCCCTGCCCTTCCTCTCAGGGCAGAGTCTCCCTCCTGGCTCAGCCCCGCAGGTCCCTGCTCTGGGCCCAGCCATGCCCTGCACTGGCGGCCACGGGAGAGTCAGGGATGGGCACCCCGGGCCTGTCCTGTGGGGGCTCCGTGTCCTGTGCCTGGCCCCTCCTCAGGTGGGAGCACCTGTCCTCTCACCTGTGCTCTCGCTTCCTGCCTGGCTGTGCCGTGCTGCCCAGGTGACCCCACCTCCTGGGACCTCACTGGCCCAGGTCAGTCCAGGGAGGGCCTTTGACAGAACAGAGAAATCAAAACCTAACTTGCCCCTGAGGGCACAGGATGAGACATTTGGGCAGAAAAGTTCCCTCTCCTATGACTCCATGTGGGTGGCATGAGTGGCCTGAGTTTAGGGAAGGGGTGGGGTGAAACTGTGCCAGCTCAGAAGTTTCCAAGTGCCTCGATGACATATAAGGCACCTTAGTCCTTGAAAGTGTCCCAGACCGAAGCCGGGTGTGGCTAGAAGAGAAGGTTAAGGAGCTGACACATGGAGGACAACCCAGCACCCACTGGCAGGTACCACCCGCCCCTGGAGCAGCCCTGCTTCTAGCCCCTCCTCCTGGCTCCCTGAAGGGACTTATCATCTCCTCAGAGATCCCTCTGTTTCTCCTGTCCCTCCAGATGGCCCTTTTGTGTCACGGACTCCTCAGCTGAGTGACCAGTCCTACCCACTTCCCCTAGGTCCTTGGCTAGAATCTGAGGGTCACCCTTGAGGGTCCCTGTTTCTCCTCTCCCTCCGTCTCCCATGAAATCTATTCTTTCTGCTCTGAACTGAGGCCCTTGGAGGTCACATTCAGATTTATGTTTTGGTTTTTGTAAAGGGCAGGACGGTGATGCCAGGAGAGGCTCCCAATACAGCTCTGAGCCCCTGTACTGCTCCCGGGGAAACCCTAACAAAAGGACTGGACTGACTTCCCCAGGAGCCCCGAAGGGGTCAGAGAGCGAGATTAGCTGGCTCCAGCTAAGTGAGTGGACCCCCATCCTTTGTGGGTCTAGCCGGGATGTGGGTGCAGAGGGGAGAACGGGGTGATCCCCTGAGGAGCCCCATGCCTTGGGTTCCTCCTGCCTGTGCCCACAGACCTCTGATCAAAGGAAGTACCTTCGAGGAAAACTTCTGTAACAAATGTGAGAACCAAAAACACCTGTGCTACGAGGTGGAGGTCCTGGAGGGTGACGCCTGGGCCCCAGTGGAGGAGCTCCAGGGCTTCCTGCGCAACCAGGTGAGCGAGCACAGCAGGCCGGGCCCCGGGACACTTGGGAGAAGGTTCCATGCCCTCAGGGTGTCCTCTGAGCAATGTCCCTTGGCCCCCAGCTGCTGTGGCGTTGCCCAGAGGCAGGGAGGATGGACTCTGCTGTGATTGGCAGCTTGGAGCCCCAATAAGAAAGCAGTCACAGTGTCCCAGGGCCTGGGCCCACCAGCCCAGTGTCAGCCCAGCTTCCAGGGTCAGCCTGTCCCTCCTCCTGTGCCTCTGAGGAGGGGTCAGGCCAGAGGGAAAGGCACCTGGACAAAGGGACCCTTCTCCCCTGGAACCGCCCATGGCCGCCTGTGGCCAGAGAGCCAGAGCTCCCCCTTGTGCTCCCTCCAGTCACTCCTGGGAGAGCCTGGCAGGGTGCTGTCCCCACAAGGGCATTGCCAGCTGCACAGAGCCCAGGACGCCTCCTGGGTCCCCAGGTACCATGCAAAGCCACCAGGGCTCTGCACTAGCTCCGTGGGCCTGACTTCTTCCTCCTCCCTGAGCCCCGGGTTGAAAATCCTTCCCTGGGCGGGTGGGCTACTCTCCATAATCCTGTGAGCCCAGCAGTGATGCTCATCCCGTGTCTCCCCACCTCTGCCTCGGTGCCCTCACCCCTTCTTCCCGCAGAGTGTGTCACCCTCAGCTACTTATTTATTGATATCTATCTATCTATACATCTATCTATCTATCTATCTATCTACCTATCTATCTATTTATTTTTAAGGCTTTTATTGATTTAAGAGAGAAAGTGTGAGAGGTAGAAACATCAGTGATGAGAGAGAATCATTGGTTGGCTGCCTCTGCACGCCTCCTACTGGACATCAAGCCTGCAATTTGGGCCTGGGCCCTGACCAGGAATGGAACTGGTGACCGCTTTGTGGATGGGTCACTGCTCAACCCACTGAACCACACCGGCTGGGGTGTCCTCCTCTCTTTGTCTCCCTGCAGGGTCTGAGTATGTGCAGCTCCTGAAGGCATAGGCTTTGGGCACAGAATAGAGGCTCTCTGGGAACTCTGTACCAAGGTGAATCACATGGAGCCCAGACCTGTTTTCTCAGTGGTTAGAGCGTCAGCCTGCACAGCCAGGGGCCAGGGGTAGGATTCCAGGTCAAGGGCACTTATCTCAGTTGCAGCTTTGATCCCTGGCCCGGGTCGTGGAGCGTGGGGTAGGCAACCAGTGGATGTGTCTCTCAGACGTTGATGTTTCTCTCTCTCTCTCTGCCCCCTCCACCATCCCTTTTGTTCTTTCTCTAAAAATCAACGGAAATATCTCCCCAGGTGAAGATTTAAAAAAAGAACCATATTTAATGCAAAACTATAAAAAAATCAAAAATAATGCAAATTCCATGGTGAATGGAACATCAACAGGCTAAGTGAAGACTGGTCAGCTACAGAGCCATGGCAGCCATGGTTTGCTGATGTAGGAAAGTCCTCACTGCTGATCCGCCCCTTGTAGATGCTGATATGTGATTCATGAGTCCCCTTCCCTTTGACCGTGTAGATCCTGCACTGACACCTAGACATGCAGAGTTGTGCTTCCTGGATCGGGTCCCTTCTTGGCACCTGGATGAGGGGAAGCAGCACAGACTCACCTGCTACATCTCCTGGAGCCCCTGCCCTGACTGTGCTCTGGAGCTGGTTCAATTCCTGGGCGAGAACAGCCACGTGAGCCTGTGCATGTGCACTGCTGGCATCCAAACCAAATTATATGGACAAGAGGATGGGCTGAGCAACCTGCGGGACATTGGGACCCAACTCACCATCATGACCCACGATGGTCAGCATGGATCCTGAGAGTGGGAGGTGGGCAGGCAGAGAGGCTGGGAAATGGCTACACAGAGGGGGCAGGAGGAGAATCCACGTGGGGAAGCCTGTCAGCTGCCTGCAGGGGGTCAGCTGGGTCTGGAGGGGACAGAGTCATCCTGAGGAGTGAGTTCAGGGGAGAGAGGGGGTCCTGGGAAGGGTGGAGGTGGGCCCCTGTGCCCTCAGGACCCAGTCCTTCCTGGTAGAAGGGGAGGGGCTGCCTCAGATTCCAGAGGAAGAAAGAATGTGAGGGATGAGCTCAGTGCCTTGGGAGGAGAGAGAAAGGGGGCAGGGAGATCCTGATGGGGAGGGTGTGTCCCTAGAGTCAGAGACCTGGGCCCTCTCCGCTCTGGAAGGAGCTCACCTTTCCCCCCTGTTCCCATAGAGCTCCAGCACTGCTGGGACACCTTCGTGGACAAGGACAACCCAAGCTCTGGCCCAGGACTAAAGTGGAAATACACTTAGGAGCCCAGTCTAAGATGCTGGAGAACATTCTCAGGGTGCGGTTCCTCCCTCCTGTGCCCCCTCATCCCCTTTGTCCTCCTCTTCTCTCCCTGGGCCTGTCTCTGCCTCTGGGTCACCTGCTCCCTCCTGGGCCCCAGCTCCATCCTCCCCTCAGGTCTCACAGTCCCTCTGCTTTCTCCCCTCCTGCGCCCCTTTTCCTCCCCCTCCTGTGACTGCCCCAGACTCTGCTCTGTTCACCTTCCCACCTGCCTCACTCCCTGCTTCCTCCCCCTCCTCCTTCTGGATCCAGAATCAGGGAAACTAAAGGATGGAGTCAATCTCTCTTAGCAAGTCGGGGGTCTTCTCGTGAATGAGGAATAAAACACTCCCTTTAAAAAATGAAAACGCATCACGTGCCACCATCTCCAACTTGATCCAAAGAAACAAGCAAAAGGCAGCGAATGAGCTCATAATGGATTTTAAAAATCTGACGGATTTACTTTTCATTTAAAATCTATGACGTTCCAAATGCACACCAGTAGTACTGTATTTGTCATCAGAGTCATTTTTATATTTAGAAAATTAATTATTTCCATTGACGTGAAGTCCAAAGCAATAACATGAAAGATTAAGAATCTTCCACAAAATGTGTTTTCCTCTGTAAGTGTTTCATGAAGTCCAAACAGTTCAATAGACACTTGCAGAAGTGAAAATGCCTTTCTCTTCTGTTTGTACCTCATGGGAGGCCAGTGGTCACACTAATTGCCACTGGCCACGTAAAGTCAGTAATATTTATAGGAGCGGAAGCTCAAATCCGAAAGCCTAAAAACGCCGACCAAGGATGTGCAGAGAGCAATGCTGTGTTGAAACGACAGCCCATGCAATAGGAGAGGAGAAAGGCTCAGGGTCACTATTGGGAAGAGCAATTGAAGTTGACATTGGCTGAGGGGAGGGCTGGGATTACTGAGTCCTCAGGCCTTTCCAATTCCACTCCGTGAAAAGGACGCTGGAGGGAGGGATGTCACTGC